AACACAAATTAACATCGATCATTTTCATCATGTACTGAGTTGACCTGTAGAAAACAGAAAAGTGATGTAGCAATAATTATACACAGGGTCCGGTTGATCGTCTGGATTGCTTCTGAGGAGGGTTATGGCTAGAAAGGATCCGTCAAGTGCAGGGGTCTGCAACCTTTTTGACCAAAAGAGCCATTTTGCTGCTTTTTCCAAAACATTTTTTGTCTGGAGCCGCAAAACATATTTCATAGCTTGATAGCTAATAAAGTTGTATTTATTGTTATATCAGACAAAAACAATACAGTTTTTTTGCATTTATTAGGCTATTTATTACATTATATAAAACTGTTAACCTCTAATAAGAAACAAAGAACTCCTTTAAGGAGAATTAAAAATAATACACAGGCCTACTTTAAAATAAATTAAACACAGCACTTGGGGAGTCCTCTGCACATTTGAAGGAAAAAAAAATATTATTAAAATGGGCCCACTTTGAAATAAATAAAACATATAGCTGCACCCTAAAAAGAGTTAAAGGTAGGGTAGGTAAGAATGCAGAAACCAGCTCGAGTGCGCTAGAATTTGAAAATACACAACCGGAAAAAATAGGCCTCTTCCTTCAGACTTTCTTACAGAGTCCCTCCTCCAACACACACGAACGTGCGTCATCAATGAGGCCACGAGATAAGTTTGTGCACAGATGGAAGGCTGACGGGCAGTTAGGCCATCCAGTTACTTTAGCCGGGCCGGCTCAGATGACTGGTCGTGATTTTTACAGCGCTACGGCTTCCAGAGATTAATTTTTGTATGTATTTATTCTCAAAGCATTTAATATATTCATTGCTATCGGGACGTTAAGAGCATTCCATGGAATATAACAAAAAGTGTTTTCTGAAATAAATTACATACCCCATTGAATTATGACTGAAGATCGTCAGCTGTCTTCCTCTCCCTTGTTGTTCCTCGATACGTAAAGGCTGCAGCACCGTTGACAACTTCTCTCTACATATCAAACATACCGGTAAACCAGCATCGTTTGCTGTGAAAGCATATAACTCTGTCCACGCAGAATTAAATCCTGTCTTCCTCCGGTACTTTTCTTTGATTTATCCATAGTTCGCTCATCAAGCCGGGGGTCAGGTTAAGGCGCTCGAGTGGGACCGTAGCAGGATGTGACGCATATTTTAGTTGACCTAATTAAAACCGTTTTGTTTTTTATTTATGTGTCACAGTATCACCTCAAAATACAAGATACGAAACATTTTCAACCATGCAACAAAATATAAATAGTCCTACAAATACTTTTATTTTATTTCCTTCTTATTTTTGTCTAAGCTCAAGGGAGGGCCAGCGCAGCGGAGGGGCTTAAAGGGCCGCCATGCGTCGTGTTGGTCGCCGCGGGGTTGCGGATCCCTGGTTGAGAGCAATGGAATAGTCGAATCGCGTCCCGTTGTGATACGAAAGGCACTAATGCTGTCAGAAACCACTGTGTTCTTTGACGCGTTTAAACAAACTTCGAGATATTAACAGCTATCAGGGGCCCACACAGGCCATGGTGCGTCGTTAGGACGATCGTACAATTATTTTTTGGGGTAGAACGGCAGACCGGAGGCGCTTACGACGCCGATGCCGCCGTGAAAATCCTACGCCTGGTATGGTGCCTGCGTATGTGTTGCTCTCATATCAAATGTATGTGTATCCCTGTGTGTGTCCTTCAGCTGTCGTTGTGGGATGTTGATAGAGAGGATCCAGGACCTGCACTCTGGCCAGCCAATGCTCAAGTTCCTCAACGGTCTGGAGATCTCCTGCTCAGTAAAGCTCAGTGGTGAAGCTCATGGTGGCCATGCATGATTCCATCGGGAGTTTCATCCTAGTGTTGACACAGCTAATCAACTGAAAATAAATCTGTGACCTTTTTAATAGATTGCCATCAAATAGCAGGTCCAAAATGTGATAGGTTGTACTTTCTGAAATAAATGTGTTGCACTGAAGTGAAGCTCCCGTGTTATGTGCTCTCCTCAGGACTGGGAGGGGGGAATAACGCCAGTCCGCTCAGTCTCTCTGCTGTTAAGGAACTGGAAGCATCACCCAGCTCATCATCCAGGTGGC